ATTAAAAAATCGACATCATTTTGTCAACAAAATTTATCAACTCACTTTTTAAGAGAACAATTTGTAGGAAAGAGGAAATGCATGGAACCACTTTGGGGCTCAGATGGGAAAGAAAAAGCTAGAAGTGGAAGGGGAGAGACTAAAGGAGCCAGAGAAAAGCTGCCCTTCCCATTCTTTCAAAAGGCCCTTCTTGTATGTTACCAGGACCTGTACCAGGGCTGACTCCATAGGGTTGGGGTGAAAGAAAGTTTATGCCCAGGTTCTTGGCTCCTAACTAGCCTCAGTTGTGGCACCAATTTCTGGAGTTTATGTGAAAATACATCTGACCACAAATCCTTTGTTCGTTGTTATTGGTTTATTGTGAGTAATCCCTCAGGACAGTAGTAAAAATGGGCAATCACCAATAGACAAAGGCCTAGGTAGACTAGCTTTACCACCTCCAAATTCCTAATAAACAGTTTTCTTGCTTGCATTTAACAGGCTTAGCACTAAGTACTAGGGATGAAATATCCCTAGAGCTTGAATATTTCAACTGTGGTTACCTATCTTTACTTGACACACTTTCCCTAACTCTAGAGTGTGTCTTTGTTGTTTTGTGACCTTCATGTTGTTTCAGAGATACCTGTGGACTACCATGTTTCCAGCTCTTCCTCTGTGCCCTGGTAGGCATAACCTGTGTCACACCTATTTTCAGGCTGGCTGCCTTCTATGAGGTACCAAGTAGTAACTTTTCATAAACTCCAAACTCCTTATGTTAAAGTTTTCATTGATGCTAATGAATTCAAGTTTTATGTTCTCAGAAAATTCATCCTTAGAAGGAAATTTTGTAGTGACAACGCTTTAAAACAAAACTGGTAACAGGCCAAGGAGGAAGACCACTTGGAGCAGGACACTTTTGGTCATACTACACAAGTGTTTATCCATGGTGGCATGCTTTTTGCTATTTCCTGTTTTATATCAGAGAAAATTTAGTGGGTCAAAGGAAAAATTCATTGCTTAATATTTTTTATGATTTGATAAAGTTGAACAGAATTGAACTCTTTCCCTTGACATTAACTTATGTTTATTTTCTCCTTGGAGGTGACCCTTTGCCATTCTGTTTCTTGTATCTGTGACAGAGCAGTTGTGTAGTCCTTTCAGATTGGATATGAGAATATGGGTCTGATGGTGCCTCAAGTTATCCTTTAATATTTAAATGTGGAATCATAGAGGATTTTTTTAAGGTTAATTCTTGTAACTCATTTAAAACTTTTATGTATGATGACAACTGGGAATGTTTTTAGCTTTTCTGTAATAAACTGTTATGAGACCAGTTTCAGGAGACTTTATTCACAGTCAAAGGACCATTGATTAGTGGAATGAGAGCAGGGGAATTTATTTTATTGCTGAAAGGATAATGCTAACATGAATGATCACTTATAATTTGCACCAATATGTTTAATTTGTAACTTTGCATGGATCATAATTTCAGAGGTAATCTTGTGAAGTTATTTATTTTATTCTCCTTTTTCAGAAAGAATACTTTCCCTCAAATCCCTTATACCTTCCCTGAAATATCTGGGTTTTCAAGAAAGCACTTTTGGTATTGTGCAGTATTTCAACAGCAACCCCAAACTCCCTTCTTCCAATTTAAAGTTACTCTAAATGCAATGTGCTTTTAGAATTCCAAATCAAGAATGTATTCTTTTAATTCTTTATTCTTTAGCACAATCTTACTAACACAGCATTTCCCCACATAAACAGTCTTTCCAAGCACTATTCTTACGAAATATTGTGCAAGAAAAGGAGGTTCTCCACTTTTGTATAAATATGTCAAAATAGACTCTATTGTCATGTATAACTAAAAAGAACATTTTCTGTTGTTTTAAAGAAAGCTTTCATGGTTGCAAAATTTGGCGAATTGTGAACACTGTCAGATCCTCTTGGAAATGATGTTTTTAGATGTCACAGTTTCTGGAAATTGGGCCCACATCATGATATTTAAAGAACACAAAACAACAACAATAATAATATACAATAAAGCAAAAATAAAGGTATACATGATTCAGATGTGCCACTGGCTGAGAACCATTGGCTGTGGTCATGGGATGCCATCCCAGGGAACTGGGGTGTGTGGCTATGATTGTCCTTCACCCCTGGGAAAACAGAGTGGGACACAATGGCTTATAGGCAGTCTTCAAACACAGGAGGGAAAAGAGGGAAGGAAACAACTAAGTGACCTTAATTTATCTACACAATGAGGCAGCTCAGACCCATTCAATATGGAGAAAGGAATTCCCTAAAACAGATCTCTGAATGAATGTATTCATAATTGTATATTGCATTTATTAAATAGTACAGTTAGGGGTGTTGTGCAGAAGGATGTATTATATTAACATTGTTACAGCCTGCTTTTAACAAAAAGTCTAAGTCTGCATTGGTGGAGAAATAGCCACACAGCAAAAAAAAGAAGATAACAATCCTGTGCTTACTCCTTACTCTTAACATCTTTATTTGTGTATTGAAAGTTTTCCCAGGCATGTAGAGGTAAATAAGAGGAAGAACTAAGTGAATTCATGTAGGGGAAAACATGTGCAATGGCAGGAGTTGAGAATGAACTTGAAGAAGGAAGAGGCACAAGTTTCCAAATAGCCATATATTTAAGATTCTCTATATCTTTTACTTGTTCTCAGGGAAGTATTTCATTTGTCTTTTAGAAAAGAACTGAAATCTTTTATTGACAAACTTGAAAACAGCACAAATTTATCCTATGCATCTAGAAAAACCAAGCCCACATAACTTATGTCAAAACAACTATTCTGCCAGGTATCTGAGGCTCTACAGAGCAAGATCTTATTTGCCAATCCAAGGTGGAGGTCGTCCTGCACCTTTGTGGACTCTACCTCTGTGGAGCCAGTCTTCCCTCATCCCACAGTTCCCATAGCCTATTAAAGCCTTTTGGGGTACACCTGAAATTTTATATCACCATTATCAATATCAACATATTGAGCTTTAGGCTGTGAAAGGCCCTGGGGACCTCCAGCTATAAGAAGGATCATTCCTGAGATTGTGCACACACAACTACATACACATTAATTTCTCAGATAACAATTATTTCCTCGATTAAGAAAATTATTATCTAAAACTAAATAAGGCAACATTTCATTGTTTATATTCTTATGCTATTGCTATTTTTTTCCTGACCATTAGTTGTATCTTTTGTCTGTCCAGAGTGATAATTATGTTCCTTAAGTCTAGGTGATAAGGTAAACCCCTCTCTCTCTCTCTGTCTCATGTCCTGTGTAGATATTCAGGAAAAACTTGAGTTAATACACATACGTACATTCATTCAGCCTAGGACCCTGAAAAACAAATCTGTCTTATAATAACTATGTCCCGATGGATGAGAAGTTTGGGAAAAGTAAGTCTCCTAGTGTATAAAAACTGTTCAGGACTCCTGGTACCCTAATTTGCAATGTGCTTTCACATTGTTATCCTGTCGTTCTATAGGAAGTGTGAGCAATGGGTAAGAATGATAAGAAGTACTCATTTTACAGAAATAGTTGTAGATCAGAGAGTTTAATCTGTTCAAGATCAGAGGGTGAATGTCAAAGCTGATTCAGACCCTCATCTTATGATTCCAAATCTAAAGTGGAGGACAGGATTGAATTGTGAGAATCTGTGATGAGTGAATTTACCAGGAGAGAAATCAGATCTTGAAATATAAAGATAAACTTGGACTTGGGACAGGCCTGATGGTGTGGGGTTGGCAGTCATCGACTTCTCCTGTGGTTTTCTATAGCTCCCGGGAGAAGGAGTGTGAAGGCACATTACCCATGTGACTGTCCTCGGACTGTGCGTGGAAGCAGACAGCAGCTTTAGTCAACTGGCCTCTATCTGTTTAAAAGTCTTGTTTGTAAACTGGCAGCTAGAAAGGGCTGAAATCTGTCTCTATGGAGAGGCTGAATTGCATCCTTTGGTATGTGCTGATTACTCTGTCACCAGCTGTGAGGGACACTGTTTTACATGCTGGCTGATCTATTTTGTTCCAAATCACTTCCCAGAGGGCTGAACAGTGACATCTACTGGTTCAGTTGGAAACAAGCAAGTTCAAAAGTGGTTGAAATATCAGCATTAGTACTTCTTTCAAATCAAATAACAATTGTCCTAAAGGGAAGTGATGACATCAGCAGCATGTTTTATCTCAGGAACAACATACCAGTCTAGGTTTTCATTATGAGGAATACCATGTGACTTTTATTCTTGCAAAGTTTGTATCAAAGACTTTGTAAAAAAATCAAATTTCAAAAGAAATAGTACAAAGAACTGTTTTGGGAGTTCCTTATAACTCAAGATTTTTATCTTGGATTTGAAGATGTGATTGTGAGAAATAATTAAGTTGCTTTTTGTTAGGAAACTCTAGAATCAAAACTTCCAATGGATTGTAATACGTGTGTATTACAATCAAGATTGAATTATTTGTTACATGCCCCCCAACTCTAGGCCATTCGGCACAGTCTCCCAGCTCTCAATGCAATAAAGCATCCATGTTCATTTGTACTCAATGCTTTATTTCTTTCTGTGGCAAAAGTCTAAAGATCACTGAACACATAGTGAATGGCAAAGCTTTTCTGGGCAATTTGAATAATTAAAAATTATTATATTATGACAAACTAAAAAGTACCTGTCACCTCCACACTCTATACAATCTCTTTTCATAATTCAGACCTTTGCAAAAATGTCTGAGAACCAATACACCAGTTGTTTGGATTTCAACCTATTATAAACCTCAGGGAGAGGTGAAATGGCTCAGAGGGTAGCATGAGGAAGCTGCTAACTGAATAACTAAGCACTGACATATTGAGATCATTGAAGAAAAATGCTAACCATTTCACCAGGTATTTACTACAGTATCATGTATGATGCTGGAAACATGCTTTTTGTTTTCAAACAGGAAGCAAGATCCTGAGATGATTCAAGTTGACTTATTCAGGTCTGTTGAGATCTCTACCAAATTGCTTTTCAGATCCCTGGTGGCTTTAGAACAGCATGGCGTTAAACCACACTGCCCTGCCCCAGGATGAGCACCTGCCACACTACCTTCGGGATGAGGATCCCTTTGCTTCCAAACTTTCCTGGGAAGCGGATTTAGTGGCTGGCTTTTACCTGACAATAATTGGTAAGCATTTTTAATTCTTCTATGCAAAGACTGTTTTTAAAAATTCACAGGCTGATATGTGGATTTTGCAAAAATGATTTCAACATTTATCTGGGTATTTTAGTGGAGTTAAAGAATGGGAAGGCGGGGTGGCTTGTGGCACGCAATAAATGTTTCATAGAAATGACAATTACTGACAGTATTAGGGATAAATGTTCCAGTGATAATGCAAATAATTTTATAGAAAAAATTGTTTATCTTGAGACAGTATTTCATTTTGGTTTCTTTGCTAGTAAGTTTATCTTCTGAATAATAAAAAAGAGATGATATTCTATTATTTAAAGATTTTCTTTAACTTTCTAAAAGATACTTTTGATATAATTAGAAAATTTTAGACTAAGAATGAACCTTAGAAATCATCTAGTTCAGCTTCCTCTTCTTACAATCCAGGAAAATTTGGACCAGGGAAATATAGTGACAATAGACATATTGCATTTACTTTATCTAAATGTAAAGTCCCATCACATCAGAATAGTTAAGTCACTATGATGAGCGTTGAGAAAATGTTCTGGTGATAAATGGAAGTCAGCCTTGATCAAAAATTTTGTGTGCACAATCCACACAGGGGTACATCTGCTTCTATACTATCCAAAGCAGTGGCCATATATGGCTCCTGAGCACATGAACTGTTGACTTCCAAATGAGTCATACTGTAGTATAGACATATACCGCATACTGAAGTCTTAGTACCAGAAAGAATTGTGTAAAAATATGTCATTGACAATTCTGAAAAATTGAATTCATATTGAAACCACAGTATCTTGGATAGATCAGAGTAACTTAAATATTAAGGTATTAAATTCAATTTATCTCTATATTTTTTACTTTGCTTAAGGTAAAAATTTAGAATACATATGTGTCTCACATTTCTGGTTTACATTATATTTCTATTGGACTGCACTAATGTAGACAATTAGGATTTAACCACAATACTATTCTTAAATTTAAAATCGACATCTTAAATTTGGGTGACCAGTGTGCAGGTGGGTTACGTCTCTAGGTTTATCTGCCTTTAATCTTTTCAGATGTTGGGTCAAGCCTGCTTATTCTCCTCTCTCTTCTACTTTGTTTCTTTCTCTCTCCCTCCCTCTGTTCCTCCCTTCTTTGTTCCCTCCCTCCCTTTCCTTTTCTCTTCCTTTTCTTCTCTCATCTATTTATTCCTGGCAAAGAATTTCATTTAATTCCTAAAATTAGAAAACTCATTAGAAATTTCTCAAGATCCCTCTATGGTCAGTGCTTGAGGCAAAAGGAATCTATGAGATTGGATCAGAAATTATACATCAAAGTGATTCCCTGGGTTCTTGTTTTCATTGCTTGTTAGTCTTTTACTCAAATTCTATGTCTTCAAGTGCAATCCCATGTCCTTTCAAACACAAATATAGACTGAGCACCCACACTTTGCTACTCTGAAGTTGATGGGTAGAGATCAGTGAATAAAATTCTGAACACTCTGCTGCAACAAAGATTATTTTGTAGTAAAATTCACATCACATTTCTATTAAATGTACATTTTAAATGACTTCAAAAGGCAGACAAGTAAGTGTCCCGGAAATTGCATTCAATTTATTCCAATTGATTGCAAGGAATGAATGAAAAGGTGCAATCTCTGTGGACAATACAGTATAGAGAGGAATATTAGTCTATTCTACTCTTAGAATGAAGGATTGCAGAGAGAGAGGCAACCAGGGTGAGTACCAGAGAAAATGAGGAGAGTGTTCCACTTGCTGCATGTGAGGTTAGAAGGGAAGTCAGGACCATATCAAACAAGAAAAGTTGGGATGGAGATAGAAAATCAGGTCCAAAAAGAGTTCCCAGCGAAAGCAGTGCAGACAAATGTGTCACACAAGAGTCACTGAGGTGAGGCAAGGGCCATCTGGAGGGGTTTGGATTCATTCTAGACCCAGGTCTTGGGCTCGGCCCCTGTTGTCACCTTCTCTTAGGAGAGGTTATGTGGATGTGTCCAGATTCCTCTCAAAGAGCCAGGGTGAAATGAATAAGATTCTTAGTGATCTTTGTTCAATACTAGGAGTCTTAGGGGAGCCAATGAAACAAAATATAAATTTGAGTTTGGAATGCAGGAGAAATAAAGACCCATTTTCCACTCTCCACTTTTTATGTAAATGCCTAGTTTATTAACTGGCTATCTAAGAAATTTTAAAAAATTCATAAAATATCAAGGATTTTGATAGTTTTTAAATGTCCACTCCATGGTTCTTCAAAAACTTGTTTTCCTTTGATTAGTATTAAAAATACATTTGCTTTTTCTTAACACTCATCTGCAGATAAGATTGCCTGTGGAAATAATTACATGTATCTAAGAGAGAATTGATTATTTCTGGTGATGCTTTGGGCACTGGGTAAAACCCTATGAAATAGGGTTGGTAAAGAAAATTTAAGAAAAGAAAAATATTCTCCAACAAGGTCTAGATGACAAAGGGTGTTCCAATGAGCCTTGCGTATGGAATGCATATACACACTTAAGATTTTAAATCTCATTTTCGATACAACAGAGCTGGAATTAGCTTGATAATTATTCAGGCTGTATTTTTACACTTTGCTTTCCCAGTGTTCCTTGCTAAATGGTTTCCTTTAATGAGACAGGAGTATCATTTTAGTTGGTTTGCTCTAGGTCTCCATCATCTCTTCTATTTTTCTCCTCTTCTGCTATAAGAGAGCTTAAGAGGTCTCAATAAATCATGAAGCAGCACTGACTCCAGAGAGTCAGAAATCTAAGAGCAGAATGCAGTCAGTTCCTGGTGGTTTCATACCATCAGCAGAGACACACATTTATTTCCTTGCCCCCACAAATGAATTGTGGTGGAGAAATTAAAATAGAAATTAAAATAGAAAAATCTGGGTTTCTCCTGTTAATACTCTCCTTATTCCTTACTACTAAAGGCAGCTGTACCAGATTCTCATTTATACACAGCTACACTATGAAGCAAGAATTCCTGAGGAAATCTACTCTACATGTTAAGCTATGGAAGTAGGTGTATTCTTTTCTTAAAGTCAGTAGGGATTGGGTCTTTTTGGATTTAAACTGGGTTTGTAAGAACTTTTTGAACAGTTTCATTGTAATGTGAAAGTCAATTAGTCATTAATAAAAGGATATAAAAAACGGGTACACATTTCTGCCATTGTCGGTAGGTTTGGTGGGTTGAGGGTCACTGTCTCTCCCCTTGGTGGGAGGGGAGTGCCCATGTTATCATTTGTCACCCACTGACCCTTGATACCTAGTCCAGGAGCAGCTGAAGGCTGTCCTGTCTGCCAGACACTCAGCGTCCTAGTCTCCCCAGGAGTCTGTCCTGGGATCTTTCTCCAGAAAATGACCCTTTGCTTGCAGGGGGTCATGCTAGACTTCTCTAGTCCCTGCCTCTCCTGCACGCTGGCACTCCCTCAGGAGCCTGCAGTGACACTGAAGTCATCTCCAATGGTTGACTTCATCTTCAGAGTTTATCAAAGGCCAAGGGGTTGATCCCACTTGCTAGGGGGCGAGGCTTTATAAAGCCAATAATCTGTAAAATGGCTGAGGAAAATACTCTACCCTGGGGGCCAGTACAAGAACTGACCATTGGGATTCCCACACCTTCCTGAGCCTACCTGGGAAGTTAGCCGTTCCTTGTTCTGGGTAAGTTCAGTCTTATAATCCCTGCCTCCTTTCCCTTAGGAGGCAACCCATCCCATGCCTGTTACTCACAACTCATGCTTTTTTATTTCATCTTCTTAATTTAGATTTTTTGTTTAGAGTCCTCTCATTACCCTCTAAATCTGTGGTGTCCATTTTTGAAATTGAGAAGTGTTTCATATCCAAGTGAACTCTAAATATTAGTTTTAACGATGGGATTTTTTATTTTTCTTTGTAGGGATTCTGTCCACATTTGGAAATGGGTATGTCCTTTATATGTCTTCTAGACGAAAGAAGAAGCTGAGACCTGCTGAAATAATGACTATCAACCTAGCAGTCTGTGACCTGGGGATTTCAGGTAACACAATCATATAATTTCCTCATTGTGGGTTTAAACTAGTCCCCATTCTGAACACTCATTGACGGAGAGATTACTCTTCACCAGGACCTACTTTTGCTTTCCATTTGCAAATCAGAGTCATAGTACTTGGGATTGTCAGTGGTATGTTATCTGGCTAGGGAAATAATTTATTGGGTATTTTCTATGTGCCAGGCATTTTAGATGCTGAGGGTTCAATTTGCAATAGCACACTCTACCTTAGTCTCAAGGTGTACTGGGTTTATTCAGAATTCAGAAACTGATGGGCAGACTTCAGGTCACTGTTTGGGGCCCATTACACTCCTCTCACCCTTATTCAAACTTATGGAAGTTTGGATAAAATGAACACTGAAGGGGAGGGATCTTGAAGGGTAAATGAGAGGTGATTATAGAAAGAGCTGCCCTGCTGATGGTATATTTAATTGTGACTTCGGTACTGATTGCAAGTACAGGAAGCTTCTGGTTCCATGATTCTCAATGTTGGCTGCATAAAAACATCACTTAGGGGAACTTAAAAAAAAAAAGCAACTCATGGATAGATTCCATAACAGAAATTATAATTTAAGTGATTGAGAATATTTCCTTGGCATTTGGATGTTTAAAATTAGAATCTCCAGGGAAGTTAACACATGGACAAAATTGAGAACCATGTTTTCTATCCTATTTTTTTTTTATTCTTTGATATTCCCCAAAAGGAGGAGTTGGAATAAAATTTTTCTTTAACCATAAGGGTTTTAAAAATATGAATGACTTTGGATAAGTCACATCTTGTTGCTTACTTCTATAAAATTCTATTTGTACAATAATATTTCCTTGAATCCCAATATCTGCTATTGAGTTTTGTGTCTTAGCTTGTTAGAGTTGGGGAAATAGCATTTGAACCCCACTCCTTTGGTTCCTTCTTCTCTCTAGAAACCTTTTAGCAGTTTTCATCATCAGTTTTCTTTTAAAACGTTTTCTGATAATGTTTCTTTCTTCAAAAGTGTGTGTGTGTGTGTGTGTGTGTGTGTGTGTGTGTGTGTGTGTTTTCTTTTCTGCTTCTACCAGTTTCTAAAAGCAAGACTCAATAATAAGACTCTACCTGTTGAATCACTATCACATAGCAGTAGATATGGTCCTTTCTTATTGGGAGTTTTTTGGTTTTGGTTATTTGGGAAGGTTTTACATATTAAGGACAGGCTGGAGTAACATGAGCTCTCATAGTAAATTAACGTGTACATTAAGAGATACATTATGTGCCAGGTCCCTCTTTTCTGTGAAAATAGGATGAACCGCCCCCTGGGAATTTGCGAGGCTGCACAATGGCTGCCATTTTGACTCTTGCCACACGATGGCGGTGCCACAACAGGAATGGTAGCTTCCCAGCCAGGTCAGCCAGCTGGTCTCAGAAGGTTTTCTCCCTGGTACTGAACACAAAATGCCTGAATGAAATCTGTCATTTCAACTACATCCTTCACCAGTGAATAAAAGCAGACTCATGCTTAAGGCTGAATTAGACTAGGTTTGAATAAAAATGTCCTTAATTGGTCTGATACACCAAAAATGCTTCCAGCCAAGCAAGTCTGCTCTAAAATTGCACAAATCACTCTATTACTCTTCATGTCTTTGGAGTAATTCATCAGAAAGCACTTTCTTTCACGTGACAGCTTTCCCTGATTAACCTAGATTATTCTGAACATTTATAGTATGTTTGCTTTTCCAATAAATCTTAATTTTTTGTCTGTTTTTTTCCTGCTGTATTCCATTATAAGCACCTTGCAGAGGCATAGCCTAAAGACCAGATGTATTGCATCTATGCAACTAACATGTGTTGTCTAAATTCCAATGTCTTTCAGTTGTGAATATATATTAAATTAACCTGGGGAGTTAAAAGTATGGTGATGTCTGGGATCACTCCAGATAAAATCAGAACATCTAGGACACTGACATTTGAAGCAAAAGAAAACACCTTCTCCAGTGCTTCCAACATCAGTCAGTTTGGGATGTATCCTAGAGGAGAGATCAACATTCTAGATAACCTATCTGAAGCTCATCAAAAACTCCACTCCAGAAAGAAGCCTGAGACTTGGACTAATAGGGGTCCATAGGTACAACAGATGCTAATTACACTTCACTGGATCTTTTTCACTTTTCTTTTGCTGCCTCTGGCACCCACCCAGCTGGCTCCCCTCCCCCAAGTCTTTGAGTTTGTTTTCTCTTCTGCCTGAAATCTTCTCCCTCTACATATCTGTTCAAATTCTCTCCCAATGATTTAGGCATCTTTCTGTCTCTCTCCTTATTCTATTTATCTTCACATCACTAATAACCACTTATCATTCCATCATACCAAATCACGTAAAACAAATTTGGTTTTTCAGTTGCTCTCCCAATTAGAAAATCAATTTGTCAGTCATGATCTCCACCTGGCCCTCTAGCATCTTGCTTTGTGCTTGTTACATAGTAGGTGCTGTGTGATTATTTGTTGAAGAAAAGAATAGCTCTTTTACAATGTAATTCTTCACTGGCCATGGGGTTAGATTAACTAGGATTAAAAGGCTTTTGTGGAAGGGTGCCCAGTCTAGTAAGTGGGATGGTGGTGCTGTCTAGACACCTAGAGAAGACCTGTCTAGTTTACAGAAGGCTGAGTAAACACTTGACAATTGACTGAACTAACAGGAACTCTGTCATACCTTTCTACACCAAGAAGGGGGTCTGAGGGGTGGTTTGTGTGCTAGCACCTGCAGGCTGTGCATATCACTCAGTTTTCTTTTCATATGTAGATCAGATACAGAATGTGAAGAGCTTCCCCAGCAGAGTCTTTTGGAGGAGGCTAAAGATTAAATACTATGACTGAATGAAGTATGTTCTATTCATTGATAATAAGCACAAGGAAATAATATAAGCAAAAATAAAAGGACAAGTTCATTTTTTTTTTTAGAAAATTATTTACACTATTCTTACAATGTGCATGGAATTCATACTTTCTGCTTCTGGTGTACTTTATAATCTATTCTTCAGCATCAATTCAACCTTCCCTTCTGAAGTTACAGCCTAAGAACCCATCCTTTCTCTGAACAGGGCTTTGTCTGGTAGGAAACCTCTTGCTTTCCCTTCCCTTAAGGGCTTAACTTGCCTCTGGGTGTT